TTATGTTGATGAAAATCTTAGGTCACAGGCTTCTCCAACAGTGCAACACAATAAGACAGAAAAATATAGTGCAAGTAAAAAGTACGCCCACATGGAGACTTTCCTCGAGCCTCTCCTTCAGCCCAGCTTCTACTCCCTCTTGGAAATGTTTTACTCAATCCTCCCGAGGCCCAGGCTTGTCCTCTTCTCTATTTGACTTCACTCTCTAAACCCCTTTTGCTGTCTCTTCTCATTCGGTCCAAATTGTTTTCTTTAAACAAGCTTTAATAAAACAGCCCTCGTAATACCTCTGTTTACATATTAGAAATCTGTCTTCAAAGTACTCTGTGCTCACTGAGTCTCCTCTGCTCCCCTCTCACAGATGCAGAGCGTCATGTATGAGCTCATGTCGGAGCTCAACGACCGCAGTGAGGACTTGGAGCGCCAGATGCTGTCCCTGGAGTCGCGGGTGGAGCAGCTCACCGCCGGCTTCAACACCCTGCCGGCCCACCTCTCGGCCACCCTCAGCGCTCAGCATGCCGCCCTGGTGCACTTGCTTCGAGAGAGGGATTCGAGGGACTGGAGAGGCGGAGGTGGTGGAGCAGGTGCCGTTGTCCCGCTGTCCCCAGCTGTGTCTGTAACTGCTGCTCCACCTTCACCAGTACGGGTTTCGCCTCCAGCACCGCCCCCATACCAAGTCCCCACTTTGGCCTTGGAGTCCCCTCTGACGCCCCCACCTCACAGCCCCGAGGGGAGCCTGGAGGCGAGTCCCAACACCAACACCTGCACTTCTGGCTGCTGAGACAGCTCTGAGGACCAGGAGAGGACTTACCTGGAGAGAAAACTGGGAGAGAGTAGGGGGGAGGCTGTGCTAGTCCGCTTACTTCAGATTAAAAGGAGAGGAACATGGAGGGAGGAGGAGAAAAATTGGAGGTGATCCCCTGAAACCAACGCTCCATGAGGGAGGGATGAAGACAGAACTATGAGAAGAAATAATGGGATTAAGATGGAGAGTCAGGATGAATGATGAGACATCTTAGGGACTTTGGGGCGCTTTCCTTGAAGGAGGAAGGAAAAGAAAAATGGAGATAAAATGGAGACGCTAAAAGGTGTGAGGGGGAGGAAGGATGTCAAGAGGGTGAGAAATGGAGGAAGAGAGAATGTGGAAGGGGAAGGAGAGGGGAGGAGAAATAAGAAGAAGAATGATATGAACTCCAAGCTCCTAAATGGAATCTACTCCAATTACTGAAAAGGGCCTTTTTTCTCTCTCTATCTCTGTCTTTCTCTCTCTCTCTCTTTCCTCCCCCCCTCCCAATATCTCTCTCCCTTCATCAGGAATTAATGACCATGACTTTTTATCCTTATGATGTATTTTCTATCTGAATGCTAATTGTGTGTTAACGAGCATCCCTTTAACAGAAGGTTCGATCAATACGACCGTGATATTAAAAATAAAATAGTGGCATGTACCGCACACACACACACACACACACACACACACACACACACACACACACACACACACACACACACTTGTACACAACTTATATCTGCGCATTATCCACAGGAAACATGTGAACACAGCACAAACATAAAAACACAATCCTTAACAAAGCTGGCCCTTTATACGATTGCACAAAGAAATGTTGTGCTGTTGCCAACAGGATGATATTAAAGCCTATACTGCCAAACACTCGACGCACTGTCAATCTCCACAGAGCACTGCCAAGCAATGTAGACACACTGTAAAAAATGTTCATCCAAATGACTTGTCTTGAGTGGGTGTGAGCTAATGCAGTAGTTTAGACTTACATTGCATAGTTGTGACATGTTAACTACTCAGATGGGAGAATCATAAACATTCACTGAACCACACAAATCACAGATGAGGTTGAAATAAGTAGTTATGACACTAAGGGTTATGAGTCACCATAACGTCTGCTTGTGACAAGAAGACAGTCACAGATCATAAAATATCCGAACACAACTACAGCAGGACTTTATTACTGCATTTATTGAATTACACATTAAGCTGAACTGATTTTACATGTGCTTGTAGGTTGGTTGTTCTTAACTAAGACTTTTAAGGGTTTGTTTCGTTTTATATCTGTGAACATTTCTTATGACCTCCAGAAAATTGATAATTTATAGTTGAATTAAGTGCATTAATATAGGGATGTTTTTTGGAGGAAAAAGTAGATTGCAACACAAACATTTATTAAACTGTCTTTTCAATCTGGTTCATTAGTTTTGAAGAAAGAATAACTATACAAAACCGAGCTTTGCACAAACATAATGTTCCATGTTTGGTGATTGTTCTGCAGACAGGTAAACTCAAATCAAAACTTTATTATTCATCAATAATGAATTATCTGTTTTTTGTCTGATGTCAGTGGAGTCCGATTGACTGAGATGCTGTATTTATTGTTTTTCTTTCATTCTTTAGATATATTTATGCTTAGAATTACTAATCTTTTGATTTTTACATTAGAGATTTAATTAAAAATCCAACAATTGTTAAGCTGTGTGATTAGAAGTTGATGTGATAAATATTTTTCACAGTGTACGGTTGTGTGTAACACCCTTCATGAAGGGAAGAAGAAGAAATGTCTTACTACCATTCTTTCTTCAGGCTCGCAGCCCCAAAACGACACTGTTATCATGAATGTATTCTATGTAAAGAAATACACTCAAAACACTCTCGCTTGCTCGATCACTTAAACTGCCGTGCAGACACAGGAACAGACACCAACACGCACGCACACACAGATATACACACACCTCGACAACCAAAGTGCTCTCTCTTAAACGGACTTCAATAAGAGGCAGGGAACGCTGCTGTCACTGGGGACAAAAGATAGCAGGAGGCGTTGCAGATATCTAGACAATATTTCTGAGGGAATAACTGTGAAAATCTGGGCATGGACTTGTTAAACTGCTGTGCATGGACTGCTCTTCACTGCTTTAAAACAGATCAAGGTGGACTATGGATGAACACAAGGGAACACAAATAAACCTTACAAAGGATAAATGGCCATGAGGGAACAGCTGTATGAAATTAAAAAACATAAAAAGAAAGACTTAGGTTTATATGACAAAAATTATTATGGTGTGAAGGGAAAAGAGACAAGCCTACTCTTCATTGGAAACAATATCAAACTGTCTTATGGCGACATGCTGTGGCCGGAATACTGAATTACATACGCTTGGAATATTGTATAGTATGCTGTTAACGAAATCTAGCTTTGTATTGCTTAGTCCTTTTCTACCATTATGATTACACGCAGTTATAGCTGATATATAATATTACTAAACTATAGTATTCTTCTCATTCGTAATGACAATTCTGATATGTACAACAATACGTTAAATAATTATGAACAAGGAAAGTGCCCTTTAAGGTTGAAATTATTTTGTAATTTTTATTTTATCAGAGAGAATTAATAAAGTATATATCTATAACATTACAGCTTCCATGTTTTCTGTGTCGCTGTTTTTTGTTTGTTTTTCCTTTTTTTATTTTGGATGCTACGGGACTCAGTGTGATTATTTAGAAAAATAAAGCAACCCATCTTCACATCTAAAACGAAGGACCTCCCGCAACAAATTCATTTGAAAGTTGCTACAGGCTATTTGACTTATTTTATAAAACAAACAAACAAACTGAAAGGTTGTTTTGACCAACGAATCTCTGAAGTATGCTAATTCTGTTTCAGATGCTCGTCCTCTCGCGATATTTGGAGATAACCCCACGGAAAGTTAGCTTATATCCAAGTAGGTTGTGTATTTTTTTATAAGATTTGAATAAGTTACGTTTTATTTTGTAAACTGTTTCACCGTCACACCCAGGGGCGGACTGGTACTGAAGTGGGCCGATCGGACGATGTGGGCCGGTCGGATAAGTCACTAGCCCCCCCCCCCCCCCCGTTGACAATTTACTAGCGGTGAATACTTGCGGTACCGAGGTGGGCCGGTCGAGAGTCCCGTGCTGATTTGTAGTCCCAGTCTGCCGCTGGTCACACCAGTGACGGCTGGTGATAAAAATGTTGGGTGGGGCGCAAAAAAAAAATATGTACAACACCACTGTAATGTCGAAGGAAATTGATTGTGATTCATGGACACTAGCCCTGCTGATGAATCTTTTAATCGGGTTGGTCCGGTCCAAGCTCCTTTATTCTCTTTTTTTTTCAGTGGACGCGTTGTGAAAGGGTGTTTTTGTAAAGAAAAAACTGAATTTTCTACGGCCGCACTTGAATTTGCCATGACAATATCATCCAGAAAACTAATGGCGAGTGTGAACATAAAAGACAGCATCATGGCCCAATCACATCAGGTCAAAGATCATGAAAACAATACAGATTCGCTGGAAATAAAAGTGGGAGGGTCTGGAGCGCAGAGAGCTGCGCCCCGTGGGAAAATCTGAAGCCGCCAATCAGCGAGCAGCTTTTGGTCACCTGCTTACCAAAAGTTTAACGACTTCCATTCGCTCTCATTTGGCCGGCGTCCCTCAACCAGGAAGTATGTATTCACACACAATACCCAAAATGCAAAAAACATTAATAGCTAAGGTAAAGTATGATACTACATGAAGTAGCATTTTGTAAATGTGAGCAGGTGTTTGAGTGCTTTACTCTTTGTTTTCAAAGTAGATTCCTTGATTTAGTGTGTCAGTAATACTCACATGTTGCCGACCTGTGCAACAATAGGATTAAAAAGTCATATTGTGCTACATTTAATACAATTGATCCCTAATTTAGTCATAGCCTTCTGCAAAATGTTCCTATTTTCCTTTTTCTCTGCAAATTAAATTGTGGATGGAATTGTTTCTTACCAAAAAATTATGCATTTATAGAGCATGAGATTGTTTGATTTAGGATCTTCAAACAAACATCACTGTTGTAAAGACATCACTGTTCAGAATATTCCCAAATAATCTACACAAATTCTTTATTATTTGTTATATCACATGTTTCTATACCTGCTCACTGGCCATACCTCATGATGTAAAAGAAATAAGTCACATCCAATATATTGAACAGCTTGTTATCTGTTTTACCTTCCTTTTTTCTTGCTGATAGTTGAGTTGAGTCTTTCCAATTTGTTTTCTTCCTCTTCTCTCAAATCCACATCTTACTTCCATCCTATTCATTTTCCCCAAATGTCTTTCTCTTTTCTTACTTTTTCATATTTACAAAGCATCAATGTTTCTCCTCCCCAGACTTTTTCCAATAACTCCTTTTCACTTTAAATGTTTTAAAATATATATTTAATCGACACAGAATGTTGTCCTCTTTCCAAAACCTTAACAACGACATTTTACTTCCTTACACTTCCCTCCTTCCTTCCTTCTTCACTTCCACCTTTACCATTCCCTGGAAACATGTCTCCTCCTCTTCCTCTTTCTTCCCTCCTCCACCTGCTTCCAACTTCAACTTTTGGGACATTTTTCCGATCTATCTACTTCCTCTTTCACTGTCCCAAAACGTTTCCACCTCCTCCTACTCCTCCCTCTATCCCTTTATCTGCTATTCATCACAGTGTTGGATCTCAATAGGAGTAGCACTCTTCCCTATTCTTTTCCCCTCTAGGGACATTTCGAAGGAGCTTAACTTCAGTGTGTGTGTGTGTGTGTGTGTGTGTGTGTGTGTGTGTGTGTGTGTGTGTGTGTGTGTGTGTGTGTGTGTGTGTGTGTGTGTGTGTGTGTGTGTGTGTGTGTGTGTGTGTGTGTGTGTGTGTGTGTGTGTGTGTGTGTGTGTGGTGTGTGTGTGTGTGTGTGTGTGTGTGTGTGTTACGGGGCCAAAACGGCAAATATGTCTTACCTTTGCTGTTTTCTGATCAAAAGTTGTGTTCAATGGCATTAAAACGCATATAAACGGCGCTGAAGGCTAATCCAATGTCTCTGTGTCACTTTGAAATGATTACTGATAATCCATCATTACATTTATGTCAATAAGAGTAGTTTTCATATATAGCTGCGATGAGAGCTACGACAGTCTATGAGAGCTTCCGGTTTTGGGAATGCTGGCTGCGCATCACTCGCATTCACCAATGGTAATGTTTAGATGGATGTATGAACCCCCCCTCGATTCTATTGGCTCTAACGGTTAAAAAGAGGTGTCAATCACCAAAATCGACCGATGGGTTCCAGAGATATGGCAAATACACTGAAATTAGTTTTTTTTTCTAAACCTCTCTAAAAAGGTCAAATGTCACTTGTTTTGCATCAATCTTGATACAGGGTACTTATTATATATCATAGTTTGGATTCCTAAAGCTTTAAGACTATCCCATCATTCAAGGGTGGTTTTCACTATAAGTAATGTTTTTATTTTGGACGGACACCATCATTTACATTTTCTTTTACTATGTTCAATCTGAATTTACTTTAAAATAAAACAATTCTATATTGATTCTCACTCTTCTACATCCAACTCACAGGTATCATTGCTTTGAGAAAAAAGATTATTAATTTACCCCTTTTAGAAGTGAAGATTGTTCTGGGCATGTCATTTTCAAGCCTGAAACTTGAAAAACAGGCTCAGGGCTTAACAGGTTAATAATTCCTCTGTTCCTCCAGCCTTTCCCCATTATTATTTTTGTCGTTTCTCGGGCTCAGAGGGTGCAGCCTGCTGTGTTTGCTAACCAGAGCAGAAATAAACTGTTTGTCCACCATCTTCATAATCAACCCCTCCCATTTCTGTCCACCCAAAATACAGTATAAATACTTACAGTCTGTTACACACTGCACGTGCATTCCTTGTTTCTCAAACACTACACACAAAGGCATCTTTCTTTTTCTCAATTGGTGGCTTTTCTTTCAAAATAGCAGTTCAAAATAAAGCTGTGAGCATGTTAATGTGTTGATGTCTTGTACTGTACACATCAGTCAAATGCAGACACAGTGATTACTTGTGTCAGGTTGGCATTAATGAAAGCAGGTTTTCAGCGCTGGTTTTCCCACCACCGCATAGAAGACGCCAAAATATATATAAGCTCTTGTTTATATGTCATATATTTAGGCTTGGATTCATTGAGTGCCACAGAGTTTTCCAAAAGCTGCTTCTTCAATAGCAACTTTTGTATTCAGCCTAATTCAATAGTACAACATCGTCACTCATGTCGCCAAAATGGACAACAAGGAACAACTCTGCAGCTACCTGAGCTTTTCCCGCCTTTTTTAACTAACGGTAAAGCACACTAACTATATTGTTGTGGTTTTAGTACTCCATCAACCTTTGTAAGCAGCTTCTCTTGTCAAAAAAGGCTAACTAGCTTTACTAAAAGCTGCACAGTGAAAAGCTAGTAAAAAGGAAGAAAGCTAACTATGCAGAAATGGTATTAGTTGAGACGTGTTAGCCTTAATAAGCTAACATATTTAAGTGTGATTTGATGCTGTCTGTATCTGCTAAGGGACACTGTTACACAATTGATTCACACTTTAAAAGAAATCCAACTAAAAGCTTTTAAGACCACAACAAAGAACATTGACAATGCTTTTCACAGCAGAGCCCTTCACGTGCA